GCCCGGTCCTTCGGCCCTGCGGTGATCACGCACAACTTCCAGGACCACTGGGTAAGGGGTCGCAGGGCTGCCCGGTGGAGGTGGGTGGGAGGTTTTGCTGCCTTATGGAAGACCCGCCCCCATCCTGTGACATTATCTCCCATCACAGAGGCTCTGGGAGATGGCCAGGGCGGAGGAAATAGGGCAGCTGAGACCTGAGATAAAAGGGCCAGTGGGCTCACGCCTCAGGCGGCGTAGGCCAGCCTCCCGTCCCAGCTCAGACCTGCCCCATGTCATCCCAGTGCCTCTTGGTGCCTGTGATTCCTGAGCTGGGAGGTGTGGGTGTGGGAGTGCCTGCTTCCCGCCCAGGACAAAGGTCTCGGCACCTGTAAGCTGAGCATGACACAGAGTCAGTGCCCAAGGGATTTAGCTGTTCCCACTGTTGCTGTTTCTTTTCCAGGCCACTTTTTTTTTTTTTTTTTTTTTTTTGTGGTATGCAGGCCTCTCACTGTTGTGGCCTTTCCCACTGCGGAGCACAGGCTCTGGACGCGCAGGCCCAGAGGCCGTGGCTCACGGGCCCAGCCGCTCCGCGGCATGTGGGATCTTCCCGGACCGGGTCACGAACCCGTGTCCCCTGCATCGGCAGGCGGACTCTCAACCACTGCGCCACAGGGAAGCCCTCCAGGCCACTTTTGATCAAACCAGACTATCTCTGGGGGCTTTTCAAAGCTGGGGAGGGTGGGGCAGTGGCCACCCTCAAGAAGGGGCTGGTCTGACCACGCCAGGCATGCTGAGCTGGGTCGCACTGAGGCAGGGAGACATCCACTACCAGAGTCCTGCCTTGGGCCAGTCTTTGGGGGGCAAAGGAATGGGGATGCTGGGGTTCAGGCACGGGTGGGAGGGAAGCCAGGCGGTGGCGTGGTGGAGCAGGGGTCTCAGGGTAAGCAGTTCCCATCAGACGCCCTCTGAGCACGTCTGCTCTTTTCCTAGATTTTCTGGGTGGGGCCGTTCATCGGAGGAGCCCTGGCCGTGCTCATCTACGACTTCATCCTGGCCCCGCGGAGCAGCGACCTCACAGACCGCGTGAAGGTGTGGACCAGCGGTCAGGTGGAGGAGTACGACTTGGATGCTGACGACATCAATTCCAGGGTGGAGATGAAGCCCAAATAAGGGGGCCTGGCCCAGGCATCCATGTGGGGGGTGGGCAGGGGTGGGTGTAGGGAGGGGAGGGATGAAATCCGTATTGTAGACACTCTGACAAGCTGGCTCAGTCACTCCCCAAAGATCCGCAGGACCTGCATAGTCAAGCCTGATTTGGGGCTGTTTCTATCACCTTCTTTCTCTTTCTCTGTTTCCTGGCCTCAGGGCTTCCTGGGGACCAAGATTTTCCAATCACCCACTCCCTTGAAGTCACAGAGGAGGTGAAAGAGAGGGACCCACCTTGCTAAGTTGTCCCCTCAGAGTGTGATGGGAGGTGTGCCAGAAAGTCCCCCTCATCCCAAAGTTGCTCACCAACTCACCTGCTGCAGGTGCCTGGGGCTCCACTGTGATTGCTTTGTGCCTTTGGGCATGGCCCTCTTTCCTGTAAAGCGCACTTGTCCCCAAGGATGCTCTGATGGGGAAAAGATCCCAGCAGGTGCCGTGGTAGGGGCAAGTGGCAGACAAGCCTCGACCTTGCGACCTGGCTCACTTCCAGGGCCCCCCCTAGATGTGCTGCATGACCTTGAGAAGGTCTCAATCTTGGGGCCCCAGTGACCCCATCTGTAAAGTTGCAGGGACAGGGAAAGCGATATGGGCCTGAGGCCCCTCTCTAGGATTCTGTAAGTGTAGACACACTGCAGGTTCTGGAAGATGTGGTCTGGACCAGCGCTGCTTCTTCCACTTGCCAAGTGCATAGTTGTACCTACACATCTATGTGAACACGTGTACATAGGCATACATGTTTCAAAGCAAAGAGCAGCAGACCATCCAGCCACTGGCAGTTCCTGTTCCTGGGGGAGCAGGTCCGATAGTGGCTCCACTGGACAGAGGCTGCTCTTGTAGAATGAAGGTCGTTTAGAGGGCGAGGGAGGAACGCCCATATTCCTTCACTGAGTTGTAGTTGATCTTTTCCACCTATCACTGCATCACCCCCATCATTATTTGGTTCTTCGCTTTCTCCTGCCAGTGCAGACACAGGTCACCATTATGCAGGTGTGTTTAGTCATCTGAAGCTTGTCAATTTATCTGAAGCTTATCAAGCCTGAGGACACACGACCGTGATTCGGATCAGCCCTCGGAGGCAGATGCCCTTGTTGGACACTTGGGGGTGCTTCTAAGCCCCCAGCTGATCCCAAGGGGGGAGGAAGAGCAGATCCCCCCCTTATTCCTGAGCTCCTGTTTGGAGGCATTTGGGGCAGCTGGGTGACCTGTACAGGCTGCCCAGGTCATAGTCTTCCCTCCTCTTTTATCTGGAGGGGAGAGTTGGTCTTGACCTGAGGAAGTAGCTATGGCTGCAGCCCAAGGACAATTCAGAGCACAGTCTGTTTGGGGGCAGCTATCTACACAGTCCATTCAATTCCACCAGGGTCAGAGCAGGTCTCCCTATGTGCCTGTGGCCATGATGGTGACAGAAACTGAGAGACACAATACACAGGTATCTAGGAGCCGCAGGACGACCCATCATGATATCCGCACACTCCCTTCTCCATTTCCTAGCAAAAACTTCTAGCCCATTTAACAGATAAACTGAGGCCCAAGGACCCACAGCTAGATAATGATTTGGCCAGGCCTAACAGCCAGGACCATGTCTCTGGCTACTCCCTGGACTGTGAGACTGGTCCCTCTCAGTCCCAGCTTCTGCATTTCTGCTTGGGCAATGGCCAGGGGCCGGGAGGGGTGAGGGTTGTGCTGGAGGGGGGAGGGGTGCAGACCGTTCCTGTCCTGCTCTGACTGCTGCACACCAGAACCCTGCATCTGTCTGCTCTGCATATATATCTCTTTGGATTTGGAATTTCATTATATGTTAAGAAAATAAACAGTAATATAAGTCATCCAAGCTCTCTGGAATGAAGTTTTCCTTCTTTTGCCACCATGTTCCCACTAGGGATCTCTGGGTCTGAGAGCTTGGGCCCACTCCTAGGGACCCAGTCTGAGGGGGAACCACTGCCTGCCCTCCTGCCTCCAGGATCCCTGGTCTCAGGGAGTGGACACAGCCCCACCCAGAACTCCATCTGAGAGACACAGGGTCTTGCCCCTAATTTTTGATTCTGATCTGTGAAAGGGATGGGGGAAAGCAGGAATGAAGTGTGACAGCCCGTGGTTCCCCTCTGATCCCTAAGAACAGAGCCCAGGGACTTCCCAGGTGACCCTCCCTCTGACCTTCCTCACATTTGTGACCCACCTACACCTGGGCTGGGCACTGGGGCCCACAGGCTTGCCCGGGGAGCTCAGCCCCAGGGGTGGGTACGGAGAGAGACTTGCCCGCCAGAGTGAGGTTAGTGCCAGGCGCAGGGGAGGCTTAGCTGGCTGGGGAAGGATGACCTGCAGTAGCTAAGAGGGGAAAAGCCACTTAGTCCCTTGAGGCCTTGCGGGGCTAAGGGCTCCTCCTCTCTGAAATCATGAGCCACATTCAGTGAGTTTGTGCATTTTCCCGTGGAGGATCTGTGGCTTTTGTCAGACTCCTAAGAGAGGTCAGAGTGGGTTGACCTCTGCCCCCAGGGTGACAGGAAGCCTGGAAAGGACCCCTCTGTCTGTTCCTGACTTTCCACCTGTCCCCCATGTAGCCCAAGGCCAGTGTGGGCTGAAAGGTTCCATCTAGGCCTGTTCAGCTTACAAAACCCCTTCCCACCCATGGCCGCCCCCAGTGTCGGGGGCTCAGCAGGCATGGGCATCCTCACTTGATGGAGGGGAGTGGATACTCAGGCACATGTCCCAGTAATAGGACAAATCTTTGCCAAGCTGACATTTGGACCCAGGCCCTTGACACTCCCCCTGACATGCACACACACTTTGGGCTAGTTTCTCAAAACAGGGACAATTATACTGGGAAACCTAGTGCCCAATAACAGGAGGCCCAGAGTCTGGGAGGTTCCGAGAACCATCAACCTGGATATCTCACTGGGCCACGTGGACAGGCATTGCCATGAGCGTGGGCTGAGCAGTTCAGGGGTGACTGGGAAGGTCCTGGCATCACAACTCTGCTACTAAGAGATGCACAGTTCCCACCTCCCTCTGGTGGGGGGCTTTGCTGATGGTGATACAAGGGCGGCTTGGCCTGTGGAGGCCAAGGCTCAGTGCTGTTGGAGCAGGCTTTCTTATTCCAGCGTGAACTGGGCCACTGTGAGTGGCACCTGGGCCCTCAGTCCATGCAAACTGCCTCTGCACCTCCCAGGCTGAGGACAGGCTGCTATGAATGGGAGGGTGCTGGCCAAGCTATGGAAACAGGGTCCAGTCTAGCCTGCGGCAGCCCACCTGTGCAAGTGTTCCGAGGCTCTCTCTCACAGCCCTTCTTGACTTGTCTCCTTACCTTGTCCCATCCTCCCTGGCGTGAAACCCTCTCAGAACCCATAAGGGCCCCTGGCCACCCCCACCTCAACCCTTGCTCTTCCCTTGGTATCCTCTGGCCATTCCAGGGCAGAGCCTTTCTTAGTGATTGTTTTGTTTTAACTTCTAGAATCCTAGTGCCAAGATACACAGCCTGAAGAAGAGGTCGAGGAACTTCCCTGGGACTTCACATACAAGCTTTCTAATCCTTATAACATCCTTGGAAGGTAGAGATGACAACCTCTATTGTAGAGGACACCGAGGTCCCTGAAGAGGAAATGATTTGCCCAAAGCCACACAGTCCGCTGGTGGCAAAACTGGGATTTTGAACTTGCTCTGTCTGGCTTCAAAGACTGGGCTCTTTCCACTATGTGGTGCGGGCCCATTTTGTCAAGACTCCCACTAAGTTTAGCTCTGGTCCAGCTAGGCTTCCTCTGCCTGGAGGGTGTTGAGAGGAAAAAGGAAGGGAAAAGAATACCTGGCTGAAGGGAACTCTAGCACCAGGAGAAGTGCCATTCATTCTGGGGCCAAATGGCCATTGTTTCTGCTTGAGACATATTGGCACCACCTGGCCCAAGACTGCTCCCTGGCACTGGCCTCACCCAGTGCCCTCCAGGGCTGACTGTCCCTCTCTCTATTTGGGAGGAATATGTCTGATAAACTTGCTCATCCAGAGGTTGTCCTCTCCCACCAGAGTATATGAGATGGGGTAGGACAATGCTATACCCTGAGGGATAATAATGCACCATTCAGGCCTGAGGGCAAAATCTGTAGGGCCAGGCTCTCCCAGACTCCCTCTCGTCTTCCAGACCATGGGTTCAGGGCTTCAGGTAACCTATCTCCCAAGGGTCATCCCCAGCTCTGCTCTGCTCATGTTCTGTCCAGCCCAGCACAGAGGAGAGGTTTTAGGAGAATAACTGGAACTGAAGTAGAGCTTCTGGAGCAACCAGGACGCTTGTCTGTTTTGTTCATCAAAATTTAATGGAGAGAGTATATTTCCTGGAAGATTCCATGACTCAACCTTGGTTCCCCAGCTGCCAAGCATTCAAGCAACTACACACACGAGGTGCTTTGATGAGGGGGTCATCTATCACCCTCTTCCATCTGGGTCCATGCTGACCAGCTACCAGGCCACTTCCTTCACTGGATTCCCCCATGGTCCAATGGATACCTGCACATGGAGGTGGCTCAGCTGGCTTGGAAGGCTGTGCTCTCTGTGCTTGGCCCAGAAAGAAGCAGGATGTAATTCAGCATCCTAGAATGAATGAATCCTAGAATACTTCTCCCTCCATTAAACACTTTTTAAAAATAATTAATTAATTAATTAATTAAAATTAAGAGATGGACAAGGCCATATTTATGGGCCTTTAATAATTAATTAATTTTATTTATTTATTTTTGGATTCATTGGGTCTTCGTTGCTGTGCGTGGGCTTTCTCTAGTTGTGGTGAGTGGGGGCTACTCTTCGTTGTGGTGCGTGGGCTTCTCATTGCGGTGGCTTCTCTTGTTGCGGAGCACGGGCTCTAGGCATGCGGGCTCAGTAGTTGTGGCGCACGGGCTTAGTTGCTCCACGGCATGTGGGATCTTCCTGGACCAGGGATCGAACCCGTGTCCCCTGCATTGGCAGGCAGATTCTTAATCGCTGCGCCACCAGGGAAGCCCTGTCATTATTTTTTAAACATTCTGAAGGTTCAAGCAAATGTCACAATACAAGAAAATAATCAGTATAAATATTGGGATATAAGAAAAACTTATATCCCAATCAGTATAAATATTGGGATATAAGAAAAACAGTTGATATGAGTATATGATTTTATATGACCTCCTGCCTCCAGTCAATCAGTCCTGGGTTTCTAAACATCCAGGAATGTAAGATCCCTTTTGATATACCCTTTTCCTCCAGGATCAAGGGGACTCCTCTTTCCAGGCCCTCGAGAGTTCTATGAGAGAAGTGACCTTTGAAGCTATCCGGGACTGGGGTGAGTCCACTGGTCAGACATAGATGCCACAAGCCTCAATGGGGCTAGCGACCTGTAAATCTGACCCCGACTCCGGCATCCTTGTCCATCTCAAAAGCTCTTGTAGGCTCCAAGAGGACCCAAATGAAAGGGTGTGGGTGGCTTAGGGCAGCCATTTGCCACCTGGCCTCAAGGACATGGTGCCTTTTGGGGATTTGGTAGAAGCAAGGCGGGCTCACTTCCTTTGGGGGTTCCCAGGCTGGTCCTCAGTGTCCTTGGAACCAAAGCCAGGAGCTGGTCTGGAAAAGCACTAGAGGGACTGGTGCCAGGGCCCCACCCGTGGCACAGCCTGGCCACGTGCTGACTGATTAGGATTTTTCCATCGCTCCTGGAGGTCACACGTTCACTGGTCAGGAGCCTCTCAAGGAAGGAGATAGTGATTAATGTTTTATGGATGAGCCGCTGGGCGGACGCCTTGTTTTCTTTAGGTTTAGAATACAATGAGGATGGTGAGTGGAATTCGCTGTGAGCTGGGGGCCGGGGACACACAGGTGATGGTGTTTACTGTTCTTGGTGCTCCTAAAGGGGAATTTCTGGAGGTAGGGAAGGCAGGTGAGGTCCTCGCCAGCAGGGCCATCATCCCCGGCCCTCAAGAGACAGTTCCTACCAATACCTCGGGCCCTGGTGACAGGAGCCCAGAAATTTTAACGAGCTTGTCCTGCTTAGAGGACTCTACTTCAGTCTAATAAATCACATTCTCAGTATATAGGGTTGTGCTTAGTTTTCTGTTCTTTCCAGTGTATTGATGGGGAATGGCGCAAGGGCAGAACTGATCTTCGGCCGTGTGGGGTGGTACGGCCTCACCAATTCTTTGTTTGTTTTATTTTTAAAATATTTTAAGTAACAAATTATATTTAAGTTAAATAGTAAACGGCACCAAGTTGAGTATAAGTCAAACATGTTACTAAATACATGAAGAATGAAGTTAAGTTTAATGAATATAGAAATATTTATTTCCTTGGAATGTCTTCCCCACGAACTTTTTCTAATTTTTATTTTTTTATTGGAGTAGAGTTGATTTACAATGTTGTGTTAGTTTCAGGTGTACAGCAAAGTGATTCAGTTTGTATATTCAGTATATATACATATATATATATATTCTTTTTCAGATTCTTTTCCCTTACAGGTTATTACAAAATACTGAGTATAGCTCTCTGTACTCTACAGTAGGCCCTTGTTGGTTATCTATTTCATATATAGTATTGGGTATATGTTAATATTAAAATACCTCCATTTATTCTGAGCTCTTCATGTACCTCCCCCCACCCCTCACCCATAGCTGTCTCGTCTCGGCCTCCCCTGGTCCTTCTCTAGTCTCTAGCCTCCCCTGGACCTCTCCACAATCCAGCACTTAAAGGTTTAACATGTCATCAGCAGGGGACCTCCAGGACCCTGTCCACCTCAACAGTTGTGGGATAGTTCTGGTGGATCGGTGCCCTTGCCACGCACGACATATATTTTGCATATCACCTCTAGGTAGGAAAGAATGCATTCTCCCTCTCTCTCTCTCTCTCTCTCTGTATCTCTCTTTCTGTATATATATATATATATATATATACACATATGAGCTGTCTATCCAGTAAGGTCCAAATTAGAAACTCTGTCTGTATGTGTATGTGTGTGTTGGGGGAGAACTTATTCCTGCAATACTATATTTGGAGTCATCCTCTGATCTGTCTTAAGAACCTGCCAGTGATTCTTACTCATGGGAGTGCCACAGCACAGCTTTGTGTAGGTACACAGACCCAGTGCTCTGCCAGCCCTTGCAGCCTCACCCAGGACAAATCCCTACCACATGGTCAAAGGCTGAAGAAATGTCCTCTGCCCAGGGTATGTTTCTTAAGAGATGTCCCCACTAGGGGCTATGCTCAGTTTGTCTGAAGCCAGCCTATCCTCCATGGAGACTATGAGCCTGGGAAGGCTGGTCTGGCTGTGCTCATAAAGGGGGACCTAGCATACACTTTCAACAAGCTACTACGGAAGCCAATGGAACTACAATTTGGAGGGAGAAAAATATTGCCTTTGGGGAGAAAAATGAAAGAGAGGGAAGGAGGAAAAGAGAGAGAGAGAGAGAGAGAGAGAGAGAGAGAGACTCAGTGAATTCAACCAATGAGTCCAATCCAAAAGAAGCAAACCCAAAGAATTAATAAAAGATGAAAAAGTTCTCAAGGATGGGAGCCCACCATTGACAGCACTCTTGAACATTCTGAAAAGTGACTAATATATCCTTGACACCTTACTTAACATGAGCTTTATTTTTTTTTAAACTTAGCTTATATTTTTCATAATGCAACTTAAATAGATATAAAAACCTATACTTTAAGGAGCTCAAATAGAAAACCCAAACAACCCAAACCCATAAAACCAATAAAATTAATTATAATCACGCAGACACTGGCATCTGTGGACGGTGCCCATGTCATGCTAGGTGTCAATATATTGTTGTGGGTGTGGGGAAAGTGCTATCAAGCCCATAAAGTAGGAATCAGTGATGTCAGAGGTGATCGTGGAACCTCCCACAGCATCTTCTGGATCTGCTTGCCACTGGATGACGTGAACAACTCACAAAGTTTTGGTTATTTGTTTAACTCCAAGGAAACCTTCTTTAAATCAAACTTGGGTTTTTGAACGCAATGAAGGCACGTTACCCAGACCACAGAGCAGACAGGCATCTGCTGAGTTCCAGGCAGTCCATGCCGATCTGCCCACTGGGAAGAGCAAGTTCCTGGCAGTCTGATAGAGACCAGGCTCCCTCCTTTCCCTCGCCAAATCAGGTCTTCTTGCTTGGGTAGATTACACATAACTTGGTGGTGTTTTTGTTTTTTTTGGCCAGTGAGATTTTTTTTTTTCAGTGAGAAATACATAATAAATTATCCATTTGATAAAAATGCTGGCAACCTCTGTTTTCACGTACATACTTCCTCCTGATTCCTTGTGAATCAGGCACTGGGAGGTGAGTTCCATGTTCAAGAAGGATGGAGCTAGTTTCATGTCTTGGTCAAATCGTTGACCGAGGCTGGTTTTGGAGGCAACCTCTCCCGAAGGCACAGGGCACGCAGCCGTCAATGTCCACAGGCCGTCTGGCATGTACCAACTGTCAAGTATACACCAGCAACTCCGCAGCAAGCATTCGTGAGCTCCTGTTCTAGCGTTCTGTGCGTTCATCCATATTTCTGGGGTCTCATCAGCAAAGACAGGGACACGGGAATTTCCTGGTCCTCCGTATCCCTGTATCCCTTTGTCCCCTGCTTCCCTTTAACCCCCTCTCTCTGCCTCTCTGCTTCGTCTCTGCTCCACACCCTGTGAGAGGATTCCTGGGCTCTAGGGAGAGAATGACTCTGTTAAACTGTTTGTAAAGTTCCGGGATTCACTGATGCGCCCGGATTGTGACTGACGAGCCGGTGGCACCTTCCATCCGAGACGAACTCCAAGAATTTCCGCTGCTGGTACTGACCTCCTGGCCTGGGAGGAGCCACTGCATCTGCCTCCAG